ATGAGATGGTTTTCATCTTGGCAAAAAAACAAGAAACGAAATAAAGTTCAGATTTAGATATTTTTCCGGTCATGACTACTCTGCACAGCTCCGGTCAGCCTCTGGTAGCCTAGAACAGAGATTACCACTGGAATTTCAGCAAAGAGATGAAAGGAGCGGAAACGAAAAATTAAAACAGAACAATCTTTATTTTTTGGCAACGTTATCCAACCCAGGCAAGAAGGCTATGTCCGTGTCGTCAGGGTAGCTCACGATACGGAGGACGGCGGCTCCGGTGAGCTCAACCTCCACGAACACGAAACCGTGATCGAGCTCAGCAGGGGCGAACAAGGCCGGGAGCGCACCCGCGTCGACGCTGTCGCGGAACGCCTCGACGGCGTCAGACACGCGGACCACGATGGCGTGCACCGCGAGGCCGTACTGGGGACGCCGCAGACGTCGCGTCCTCGTCGGCGCCGTGCTGCGCCACGTATGGGGATGCGAAGGACGAGCGAGCGATTTCCTACGCGAGCGATCGCATAGGTTTCCTACGCGTGACTTCCTCCGCTTTCCTAAAACCTGCGATCGCAAACAGATCAGTAGAAAACCGGAGAGGGAGGGAGTGAACTGCGAAACGCACGGGTGACGAGGAAAAGAAATTCGGCCGCGACGCGGGCAAAACCGGAGAGGGAGGGAGTGAACCGCGAAACGCACGGGAACTGCGGGAAAAATCGTGTAGCGTGATTTCCTCCGACCAAAAGTTTTCTAAAACCAGCGATCGTAGGAGGATGCAGGGAGCGAGCGGTTTTGGTGTCGCACCTATGGATGAAATAGTTATGAATGTTTTAGTTGTATATATAGATATATAGATAGACTAGGTTTGTGCCCGTGCGTTGCATATGGATCGTACGGTAAGATAACAATACTGTGAAATTAAATACTAACAGTAAAGTGACATTTAATAAAAAAAAGTAAAGTTTGTGAAATTAACAGTCATGGAGAGCGCGGCGTCGCAGCCTCACAAACTCTACTGTATAGACATTTTCGTGATGCGACTAAGATAATGTTTTATATCGGCCGAAAGAAATCTCCGATATCCATTTCTTTCATGCGCCAATAAATCCACAAATAAGTTCCGCTGCATCTCTATACCATCATGTACACAGGTTCAAGTATATATATGTAAATAGGTAAATACCTGTACATTGCAACGGGAAAATATAATGCCACAGTAATATAAATATGTACGTGTATTGTATTGTTATCTAAATCACAATACTTCGAACTGATGTTCATAACGTTTTGATGTCCAGCTCCCTTAACTCACCAGCATCCAAGCCATCCAACATTGCCTATAGCCAAAGCCAAGGGTAGTTTCGCCAGCTTGCTGCCCCCACTGCACCTTCCTCCTCCAATTGTTCTACTTGCAGCCTTCCAACTTTCCCCAAAGGTAGCAAAAATAGAAACCACGTACCTCAAAGACATGCCTGCAATAATAGCTCTTATAGCACATTACAAGATTTGACATTCCGGAATGGCGCCCATAAGTTTCATGCCTATTCTAGGCCACTTGAATAATATCATTATCAATCAACATATACATTTAAAGATTATAAATAGTCAAAGGTCGCAACTGATGGCACAATCAACTCAATGAACAAGATGTAGTCATGTTTCAAACTTCCTAGTAATTTTCAAAGTTGGAATAAATCAGTCATATTTGTAGAAGTTGTAATGCTCAACTGAAGTTTCAGCCATCACCATAGTACTTAAATATGCCATCACACTCGAACATGACTGAAGTTAATAATCAAATATCATTTTTTGCATCCAGAACCAATTATACAGCCTATGGAATGTACAATACAGTATAGTAGTACATGTTATTTGGATAGGACAAATCTTCCTAGTTGTATTGGTAGTAGCTTCACCATCAAATGGGCATTTGATAAAAGAATTCAGAGATCAAAACAACTTGAGTACATGCCATGACAAAAAAAAAATGTAGTTTACATTCTGGCATGTAAGCTTCCCTCCACTTGAGCCTTTCCTCCAACATTTTTCTTAACTTGGCAACAGTTACGGGCTTCTATCTTTTCAGGCATGATACAGTGGAGTAATCCTCACTGTGTGCAGACAAAGGCCCAAGTGCAGCTTCCAAATTCATTCATCGGCTCATTGTGTCATCTATGTGTGAGAAATATGAAAACAGCATGCTGCAATCAGAACTTGACTAAATATTTATTTTATCTTGATGCAAATTATATGTAACACATAGATTCACAAGGATTAGCAAGAATTGTTGAGAAATCCCAACTTTTGAAGACTAATGAGCAAGGTGACACTCTAGGGATCATAGTTGTTAAAATTTGAATCCAGGGTCACGATTTTAACATGTTAGGGACTCCGAACATTTCCACATGGACAGGACAGGAAGGAAACTGAACTTACATCATTTTTGGGAGGGTGTTTTCCATACTTTGTGGTTATCAGCCCTCACGTACACCTGAAATCACAAAGTCAGACTCATAAACGCTGCCAAACTGAACTGATCATACCACATGATAGCTATTATATTCTACAGAAAGCATGTCTATCTTACGCAAAGTTAGAGGAAAAGTGAACAATCGGGGAAATACATGCTGCTTTGTGGAAACGATTCCAGTATTTAGTGCAGGAAGCTCCAACAGACTAATCCTCCTCTGCTTGTTATCCTACCTGACTAGCTGCACACCAGAATGTCACAAATTTTCTCATCAAACTTAATACTACTGACAGTTGACAGAAAAATTTCATAGTCCAAAGAAATCAAGAGCACATCAGCATTCCACAAGGCAAGTTTCTTGACGCGGGCTAGGAGTAATGATAAGAAACAACGTGTAGCACAGACCAAGTGCATCCTAAGAGCCTAACAAGTTCGACAATAGTTGATCAATCAAATCAATAAAATAAAACCATGAGGCAGTATCGCAATCTACGGTGTGGGAGTTTTTTTTTTCACTTCAATAAATTTTGGTGAGTTGCAAACATATGAACAAAGAATATGTAGAGATGTTGTAAAAGTTTATACACCTCCATGTATTGTATTTATAAGGTCCCCGAAAGGTACCCGATCACCGGTTGGCCTTGGCGTGTCCATCAACACCAGATTACTGTATTTGGGAATCAATTTCTTTTTTCCTTCTAATGCATAGGAAATCCAGTCAATAGAAACTCTGCTCCTTGAAATGTGGTTTCTTTATTGTAAGTGTACTCTATGGTCTCAAGCATCGCTCCTGTTATCCTATCTGATCCTGCAACAATTCACAATTGACTTTCGCTAATGTCATCCCTAAGATTAAGACACATATCTGCTTTGTGCTACAACAAAACAAAGGAAACTGGAGATACGCAACCAATTTTCTGAACCAATATGTTATTTACAAAAAAAGTTTACTAACCTGATTTGCACCAGTAAATTTTTCAAACCAAACTGTTATTTCCCAACCCAAGCCCTGATGACCAAACTGTTATTTCCCAACCCAAGCCCTGATGCTAACATGCAAGTATTTCACGTGTTGAGAAAAAAAAAAACATTGCTTGATCTGCAATTTCATCAAATCTTCCAGATATCAGTTGGGAAACAATGAATCACATGATCCTTTCAAGAACTCCTCCCAGGAAATATGCACATGGAACATATCATCTCTGCTGCCAGTTTATCTTTCTCAAAACCAAATTAACGAACAGCTAGCTAGCAGAGTGTTGCTGCGTCTCGCCAGTGCATCTGACGAAGCAAAAATAAAGTAGGAGCAGCAAACTGTTAGTGCCATTCATTCATCAGTCCAGTTAAGGCACATTAATACGTAGATTGAAATTAAGGAAAATAATTACCATGATCAAGAAAAGAAACCAACAGCGTTGAGGTTGAGCACCTAGATCTACCGGATCAGCAGGCAGATACTCCGACGGCAATGACGACAGCGGAATGACCTGCAACACGCCGTTGGGGCTGTCCTTCCCAGAAGCCTGCAGGCCGCACGAAATCGACTGCGGTGAGACGGCCGGGGAAACGATTAGAGCTCCGTGAAATTCGGTGCTGGAAAGTTCCAAACAGGACACCGCAACAAAAAAGAAAACCAACCTTCATCTCCTTCCTGTTATTGACGAGGAGCCCAACCGTGCGGCTTCAGAGGACATCCATCCCTTCTCCTGCCCTTGCTGGCTGAGCGTCGGGGGCGAGGGCTTTCGCGACTTCGCGTGCTAGCGCTGGGGAAAGTGGCCCCACATGTCGGCGCCGTGTAAATCTCCGTGGGAGCGATGGAGCGGGGGAGTTCGCTCGCTCGGGGGTCGACGGCGCGGGCACGAACGGCGAGGTCGATGGCGCAGGGCAGATCGGGGCGGGGCGAGGACGCGGATCGGGGAGGAGCGATGATGACTGTGCGGGCGCAAACGGCGAGGTCGACGGCGCGGGTCCTGATGGGCGAGGACGACGGCGCGAACGGCGAGCGGCAGGGAGGGAGGCGTGGGCGAGGAGGTAGCTGCGTGGGCGTGCGCGTGAGGGAGTTGTGATTGGAGCGGGATCGTGGAGGGAATGGATCGCGAGATTGGTGCCACCTGCCGGTGCATCGCTTTTTGACTCGCGGGATCGCAAGCGACGGGCGTGGCGGCCGCCGCAGGCGTGAGGAGCGAGGTGGGCACGGCCGCCGCGGGCGTGAGGAGCGGGGCGGGGATGAGGGCGGGAGCGAGACCGGTGGATGAAATTGCGAGCGGAGATTAGGGACTTTCCTTTTGTTTTTTTACAGAGAAGAAGAGGTGCCGGGCGGAGTCATTGGTCGCACTTGACCCATCGTCTCGCTGTGTAGATGTTGACCGTAGAATTTTTTTTAGTTATAGAGATAGATAGAAATAGAGATAGGGATAGAGATATATGGAGGATTATCTCTGGTTTACATAAAACGACACAAGTGGGGACGAAGTAGCAGGAGACTTCCCTTCGTCTGTTTCGCCAAAACCTCCTGGTGCTTCCCAGAGACCCAGCCATGGCGATCTCCCAGATCTCACGCGGAGCCCTGGCCATCCTCCTCCTCCTGGCCGCCGCCTTCGCTGCCGCCCCGGCTGCGCTCGCGGACGGCGACGACGTGGTGGCCCTTACCGAATCCACGTTCGAGAAGGAGGTCGGACAGGACCGCGGCGCCCTCGTCGAGTTCTACGCCCCCTGGTTCGACTCGCTCCCTTTGTTCTCCACCACGCTGGATTGCAGTTCGATCGACCGTAGAGGAATACGGGACCGGATCTGTGGACTGTGGTTGGGGTTACTGGTTCAGCAGTAGGTCCCGGAATTTGGATATTTGCGGACATGGATGAGGCGGTAGTTCTCGAGTTCTTCCAATTGTGGCCAGAAATCGTGGTTTTCCTGTAAATTTTTTCAATCGGTTGTGGGATCCGCTAGAAGCAAGACTGTTATGGATGGATATTTTAACTCACGTAGTAAATTGATCATTTTATAGGCTTGGCAGACTGGCGGCAATATGCACTTGAATTGTCTTAATATTTGGCCGTTTGTCTCCTGCGTGTAAAAATGTTGTAGATCACAGATCTTCATCTTCTAGTGGGTGGGCTTGGCTATACAAAACAAGTGGGATCTCTCGTTTGACCATGCATGTTTAACCTGTGCAGTTTTTATCTTCTGCAATAGTATAGTACCCTGGAATTCAGTAACATAGATAGAATTGTACTTGGAATTTATTATTTCTGTGTATCAGCAGGTCAACCTTTCATAAAATCTGATTTTAGTCATCTGCTTGATTTGTTTGTTTAGGTGTGGTCACTGCAAGAAGCTTGCTCCTGAGTATGAAAGACTCGGTGCAAGTTTTAAGAAAGCTAAATCTGTCTTGATTGCTAAGGTATATATATCGTACACTTGAGGAATTAAATTGGTTCTCTCCCTTATGAATCTCTCAGCATTCCTCAGATATTCTCTGTCCTTTTATGCCACTATGATCGATAAGAAAATTACTGGCACTTGGCTCATGACATTTCCTTGTGCAGTTTTTTTTTGTTTGATAAAATTATAGGTTTCACTTATCTTAAACTCTGGTTTCTCATTTTAGGTCGATTGTGATGAGCACAAGAGTTTGTGCAGCAAGTATGGAGTTTCTGGGTATCCAACAATCCAATGGTTCCCAAAAGGATCCTTGGAGCCCAAAAAGTGAGGGTGCACGACTTTAAATTTTTCCATGTCCTTTGTTTACCAAGTTCTGTGAACTATGACAGAAATTCCTTTGGCAATTTAGGTATGAAGGACAACGCACTGCAGAAGCCCTTGCTGAATTTGTTAATACTGAAGGAGGTGGGAATTTAACCTGTTCTCTAGAATACTGTGAATTTATTGTTTTACCAAGCAGCTTCACTTTTGATATTCAATATGCTCATTGTATAGAAGAACGTCACAGACTACATTTCAAGTTTTCACAAATAATTAACAAAGTAATCATATTTCTCAATTAATCAATGTCTAAATTCGTTGGATTCTGGATTTTTCAGTCACAAATGTAAAGCTGGCAACCATTCCTTCAAGTGTTGTGGTGCTCACCCCAGAGACCTTTGACTCAATTGTCCTTGATGAAGCCAAAGATGTCCTTGTTGAGTTCTATGCCCCATGGTAGGTTACTGGGTTTTGTTAAGTACTTCACCATTATATTTTGTGCCATCAATCTGTTATCTTTGCTCAGCGAATCTAATGGATTATGTACTTGTCTTATGTACAGGTGTGGTCACTGCAAGAGTCTTGCACCGGTTAGTACATGGTTCTTGTTTGAGTTCGTGACACATTCTATTGTGGTTTTACTCTTGTAATCACCCTTAGCGACCTTCATCGTTTCTGATATGTCTAATCATAATCTTTATTTTTCAGACGTATGAGAAGGTGGCTTCTGTTTTCAAGTTAGATGAAGGAGTTGTTATTGCTAACCTTGATGCTGACAAACACAGGGATTTGGCTGAGAAGTATGTTCTGTGTTTACATTCACATATGCTTTATCTGCATTTGTTTCCCTTTTTGTATTACCTAGCACTGGGGCATGATCTTGTTTCCCTGTGAATACTAGTCACTGATATTTTATATGCAACAAATAACACCTTATTACTTCTGACTTGTTCTATACGCAATATACTGTACTTGTGACACCACTTTAGGTATGGAGTTACTGGATTTCCTACATTGAAGTTTTTCCCAAAGGGAAACAAAGCTGGTGAAGATTATGATGGCGGTAGGGACTTGGGTGACTTCGTCAAGTTCATTAACGAGAAAAGTGGTACCAGCCGTGACACAAAGGGTCAACTAACCTCAGAGGTTGGTTACATATGCACAATACTGCATTTGTGAATTCAGGCAAAATGCTAACTCTGGCTCTATTATTTTGTTAGGCTGGCCGCATAGCAAGTCTGGATGTCCTGGCTAAGGAGTTCCTTGGCGCTTCCAGTGACAAGCGAAAGGAAGTCCTCTCCAGTATGGAGGAGGAGGCAGCTAAGCTCAGTGGTCCTGCTGCAAGGTAAACTCTTGCCTCAGTTATTGGCCTATTTGCTTGAGCTATTTAATGATCTCAATTAACGTTGTAAGAATGTTATTAGTTAATGAGTTGAATTTTCCTTGTGGCATAATAAATCAGGCATGGGAAGGTCTATGTAACCATCGCAAAGAAGATACTAGAGAAAGGCAACGAGTACACTAAGAAGGAAACCGAGAGGCTTGAACGCGTGTTGGAGAAGGTGGGACACGACTACCTCACAAGATGTCTCATCAAAATTCTCTTTTGGGACAACTCACTGTACAGATTTGGTTACTCGTAGTCATATCTCTTTTTCCTTATTGCAGTCCATCAGCCCCTCGAAGGCCGACGAGTTTATCATCAAGAAGAATGTTCTATCGACTTTCTCATCCTAAGGCATCTGCTAGCTCCATTTTCACGTTTCAGATATAGGCGACAAAAACTGCAAGATTAGAAGTGTGATAATGAGAGTTAAGTGGTGGTAGAACTAATTTTGGGGGTTTCCCTCGAGGATACGTGATACTTGTGCTTCTTGCGAATTGCAGTTCTTTTCCTCCCTTGTGCTTATGGATTTATTCCGCAGCACCATAGTTTATTTTTTGTTCGACATAGAGAACATTGTGACTACAGAACTGAGTTTTACTGTCTAATAACACTGCTCATTGATGGAGCTTATGCCAACCTGTTCTGATACTTACTTTGGGAACATGTTCCCGCGCCTGCCCACCCAGAGACAATTTTTCAACCATTTTCAGCTATCTGCTTGGACGCCTGGTTGTGTGGGACGGTTTCACTATACAGAGGAGATTGGACTGTCTCGAAGAGGAAGAGTGTTTGATTTGAAGAATTAAACGAGGAAGAGTGTTTGGTTTAAAGAATTAAACCATTCTAGATGCGAGGTGTTGTATCATGAGTCTTTCTTAATTCGGTGGAATGACTCCATTACTTAGCTAGTATTGATTACTCTCTTTGTTCTAAGTCATAAGATGTTTTAGGTTTTTTAGAACGTCTTATAATTTGTAATTTTGGGAGTATTAGCTTGTGAAAAAGGTGGTGATGATTTATCAACCCATTTCACAAAACCAAACAATGAAGTGGGGAGTGAGAAGATGGACTAGCCCATTTCTCAAACAAACACCCTGAAAATAATTCTCTATATGTTTCCTCCTCATTCCTCACAATACATAGATATTATTATCTATCTCCTCCGATATTGTGTAGGTTTAGGCCAGTCTTAGTGAGGAATTTATAAGAGTTTAATAGGTATTAAATAAGGTTACAACTTAGTAAGGGCATGTTTGGGACTGTTTCACGAACTTTGCTCTATAAACTACCACAAAGCAGTTCTACAAAAAAAACCTAAAGTTTGTGGAGCACTTCTTTACATGCTCTTACAACTCTACATTTTCTCCTCGGGCAGAGTGCATAAAGCTGAACATGTTTTGCTAAAAAACGTGGAGCAGAGCTAAAAAAACATGGAGTGAAGCAGTCCCAAACACCCTCTAAATATCAGTTTATTTACTAGCTGTTGCTTTTGGTGGGTAAGGGCAGCTCCAATATTGTCTTAAGATCTAGCTCATAGAATATTTTATTTAATAAGGAGAGAGAATAATAAGTTAGCTCTTCATAAAGAATTAAGCTCACATTTTCCTATGATTCATATGTTTATGTTTACATATTTTTTCTATATAGTACATGTTAGTTACTCTTTTTTTAAGTTCATAGGTACTAGCAACTTGACTCTATTATTGAGGGTGCGCTGAGAACGAAGAAGAAGGTGAAACATGTAGGTATCTGGGGTCTACCTAGCGTTCTTCTAATGGATCCAAGACATTATACTTTTGTCTCCGTCCCTTGTGCCAAACACAAACATGGATGGCTCCACCCCCTTAACCAAATAAGAATATAGATCACCTCATCTTAGAAAATTAGAATGGCACCCATCCCAGTCTTATCCCCAAACTAAATGGCATGGACCAACACCCACTAAGGTTGTAATGATGTTGCTCAATATCGACTATTTTTAATAGACTAGCAAATATACCCGTACGTTGCAACGGGAGAACATAAGCTATCGAATATATATGAGTGTTGAGAAAATAAGCTATCGAATATTCATGGAAAATGAGAATAAAGAATGCTATATAGCTATTTATATTTTATCATTCTATGACATTTTTAAACTAATTTATTTTGCAATGATCATGACATCCGTAATATATAATATAAAATTTAATATTGATAATTTTGAGATCTGTAAAGGTGGCTCATATTCATGTACCGGCTTTGGCATGACACAAGCACCAGGCCCGTACGTGATTTTTTTTCAATTAAATAAACGACAAAGTGGCCAGCACCGTACGCGCTTCTGTTTAGTTGTGGCCGCTTCCTTAGAGGAAGATTGCTGTGTTCGACGCGAACTCCGTAGATGTGGCTGTTGGACTCTACAGGCGGGGCGAGCGATTAGTTAACGATGATAACTCTTCATACTTTTTATTAGGCATGTAGTACTTATGTGTATGTATATGTATGTGTATGCGTATATGGGTAAACATAAATAGTAGATAGAAGTTTTTTTTTCTATTTGATTAGGACTCCTATTTACGTTAGTCAGGATGGGAAGAATTAGATTATGATTCCTAGTTATCTAAATTATCTCAAAAAGCCCTACATATGCTATATATAAAACAGAGTTGTAGAGAGACGGACAAAGATAGTTTCCATATTCATAGAGTTAGAGGAGGACGGATAAAAAAATAGATGAACAAAAAAAAAAGAGCTGAAATTTTGCTTCTTTATTATTAGGTATAGATATATATATATAGATAATAAGAGGTTCTACTAGCAAATAAGAACCAAAATGGCTCCTCGAAGATTCAAATAGTTTCAAGCTATCCATCATACCATAGGAGAGCACGATTTTAGAAAAAAAAACTAGTGTCGTAATTTTACAAGCTAAAACATTATATTGAGTTTATATGATTAGTAGGTTTTAGAATTTTTATTTGCAATATTTTTCATGTAGAAAATATTTAGATATTTTTTGTAAATTTATTTTCATGAGTTTTGGATATATTTTTTAAAAATATTTTTAATCTGTCTTGAGCATTCAACTTAGTCCAATCTATCCTCCTTTAATGCAGCGCCATGTCAACTACTATTAAGATATATAAGATGCAAAAAACAAAAAAACAGTTTTTAAAATTGAGGAATCAAAGAACCAATTTTATAGATGAGATCTTAGCAGCCAAGTTCCCGGAACATGGAGAACGTGGTACGAGAACGTGGTATGTGATACGACATTGTCAGAAACTGCGGAATGAAAGGGGTATACAGCTCCAATTTGTTCCTTAGAGTACAGAAACGCTTACCATGGCTATGTTTAGATTGCAAAAAATTTCAACCCGATGAATAGTAGCACTTTCGTCTTATTTTGTAAATATTATCCAATCGTGGACCAACTAAGCTCAAAAGATTTATCTCGTGATTTCCAACTAAACTGTGCAATTAGTTATTTTTTTTACCTACATTTAATGCTCCATGCAAATGGCTAAAAATTAATGTGATGGAGAGAGAGTGAAAAAACTTAGAATTTAGAGGTGATCTAAACAAGGCCCATGTTTAAATGGAACGCGCAGGAACCTGGTGGTTGGTTCTTCTCTTTTCCAGTCTTTTATTTTTTTCCCAGCCTTTTGTTTTTTAATTGGGCCGTTGGATTTTCCATCCAACAAATAGCAACCATCCATCAATTAGGAGCCCTAAAGCCCATTCCAGGGTCCAGGCCGCACCAACACCATCCCGAGAGCTGCCGGCCGCCGCCACCCACGCACGAGCACTCCGCCGCCGCCCACGCACGGGCCGCCCATCGCCCCATCCTGAGAAGCCCATTCCTGCTATGAAACTGTGACGGCATCGAAGCTGCGGCGGGACAGCGGGTTCGCCGTTCGCGGGCTCGGCATGCGGGCAGCTGCTAAGGATGAGATTGATAAATGCAAAAGTCGAGGAGGTTCGTGAGGGCTCATTACCAAGGCTCGGAAACTATTCGCTCTTTGCCAGTGGTCCGGCCCATCCACCCGCGTGATTTTGCTCGTCCAACCCGGTTAGTAACGCGCAGCGAATCCCCTGCCGTCCTAAAACCCTAGTCCCCGCCGCCTCTACCTCCGCCGCTCGCTTTCCTCTCACACGCAGCCACACGCCAGCACGCGAAGCCTTCCGGCGCCGAAAATGGGCCACAGCGACGGAGAGCACGAGCAAGAGGGTGACGACCTCTCCGCCGACGACTCTTCGTGGAGCGACGGCGTCTGGTCCGAGGACGACGATGAGGTGGGAGAGGTTCTTTTTATGCCTTTGCCCTGTTTTTTTTTTTTGCGGCAGTTTTATTTCTGAGTAAGTTTTGTGGGTTTTGCGTTGTGCGCAGGTGTCGTTGTCGTTCGAGGACAGCGGCGAGGGCTCTGGCTCCGACGGTGAGTCCGACGAGGCTGCGGCGGCGGAAGAGAGCGACTCTTCTGAGGATGAGGTGAAGCATTTGTGTGCTTAGTGTTTGCGTTGCTTAAGCAGATTTGCAGACTCTATTGTTGTTCCGTATTTGCTTTTCTGAGTATTTGAGGTTAAAGTGAGCTAAATTTTGTGTTGTTTGCAGGTGGCGCCAAGGAATACCGTGGGAGACGTGCCTCTGGAGTGGTACAAGGACGAGGAGCACATTGGGTATGACATCGATGGGAGGAAGATCAAGAAACGTGATAGGGAGGGGCGCATTGAAGCCTACCTCAGGAATGCAGATGATGCCAAGAATTGGTAAGGCTTGAACTTGCTCTGTTGCAGTCACTCGATCAGCTGTTGTCAGTTCTGACCAATCTTGAATGAATGAATGATCAAGCTTTGAGATTGCCTCATAGTAATGACAGATACCTATAATGCTATATATTTGTAATATGATATTAGGGATAATTTGCTCCGGCGGTAACCCTACATAAATTTTGTAAGCTGGAAAACAACATCAGCATATTATAAACAAGTTGTCCTGGAACTTATCAAGTTCACATTGGCAGCTGATGTCCAGTTTACACATCTTTGGGGTGTTGCTGAGCTAATTTTTCCCTTGTATTTTTGGCGTGTTAGTGTTGACAATTTGTAAGCAAACTTGTGTTTTTGGAGACTGCAGTGTTAAAACATCTCTAAGCAGAATGAACTAATTGGAGATATGAGTGTGGCCATGGCTTGTACATGAGATTTCCGTCATTAAAGAGTGTTTTTACAATCTGATTTCAGCAAATTAATTGTAATTGTTGGGATAATATCTTGTGCTAGTTTCACATGGGCTTGGTTGATATGCTGACATCTATCATAGATTCTGTTATTGAATTATCATCCTACCCAACAATGGCCTGTATGAATT